ATTTCATTTATTTGTTGGCTTGAAAGCCTATTTTTTTCATTTATGATGCAACGACTCGAATTCATTCATCTCTTTGACTTAGCCAACTGTGGTTTTGCTTGTTTTGGCTCAGAAGATTGCATACCATCTGATGAGTTGGTCTCCCCATCTTCTCTAAGTGGGTCTCATTTGTCTTACTTTCTTCTTTCTGGATTGTTGGATCCCGTCAAGATCAACACTGACATATTTTTTATGTACGTGAATATAGCTCTACAAAGCAAATTAATTTCCCTTGCCAAAAAAAAAATTAAATAGTTTGAATTTATGTACATTGCATACAAAAAACAATTATATCAACCTTGGATAAATGATTATTTAACACTTAAATTTGCATATAAATTACAATATAAAACAACTTGACAGGATAATGATGTTAATTTATTATTTTTTTACTCTCTACCTCTACCAACATCAAGCTTTGAATGTAAAGTTCATATTTAAAGCATTAATTTCAAATGCACTACAAAAATAGACACTTCATCTGATAAAGAATTTCAACCATTTTATGCATCATTGGCAAACATCTAGATATTTTCACAAATTTTATCACATTATTGATGTTCTGGTCTTTTCTTAAGTGATTGGGATGATTCAATTGTAATTCTCAAAATATTAATCATTAAATGCATTAAGATGATAAATTAAAAAATGCTATTGCTTCCATATTGAAGCATTGATTTCAACTTATTATTGAGTATACACTATACTGTCCTTAGTCATCCCATACACTTTTAGTATAAATGCAAATATTTTCATGAAACAAATTCAAATACAAAAATGTGAAGCTTAATATGCATCAGCTTATTGTAAAATAGTTGCTTGATTCAAGTATTGTCATTAAATGAATATCCAACTTAAAAATACAAAAATATTGACATGTTGAATAGCTTTAAGAATATCAATCATATTATAAAAAGCTTATATTCAAATTTTTTGAAGATAACTTGAAAATATTAGTCCATTGTCATGATGCTTTATTATTATACCAGCCAAAAATATCAATAGGTTAAATAATTGACATAGAAGGTTTGATGATCATCATAAAAGATCAACATAAAAACTGAGTGTCTTCAAACCTTGAAATTCTCAACTCATATTAGATGTCCCAGCGTAGTCTTAGCAATAAATACTAAATAAGTTTAACAACTAATTAAAAACTATAGCTTAAGAAAATGTTGTAAACTCATATACGGGTAATTATGTATAAGAACAAATTTATTAATTAATATGTTAACAACTAAGGTAGCAAATGCATTTTAAAAGTTAATGTGGCATAACTAATTAGTTTGGTTCATGTTTTTGCTAGTTCTCTTTTTGGCCAAATGAATGTATCATAATTAATTTGAAAAGTCTCTTTTGGCCAAATAAAATTTCAATCTTAAAAAATTTTGAATATATCATATGAAATGAAAAAGCAATTTGTTTGTTAATTACAAACAAATGAAATATGCTTGATACCTTAAGAAGATGTGGTGGGTACCCAGATATGCAAGGCTCCAAGAGTAGGCTTCTAGTATGGAAAAAATTAGTATGTGTGGAATCTACATGCATGCGGACTTCAGTACAACATGATTGTAGAAGATGTGGTGGGTACCCAGATATGCAAGGCTCCGAGAGTTGGCTTCTAGTATGGGAAAAATTAGTATGTCTGGAATCTACATGCATGCGAACTTCAGTACAACATGATTGCAATGGTTGTATTTTTGAGTTGTTTCAAAAATATAATAAATACAACCATATTGTATTGAAGTCCGCATGCATACATTATCTGCTTCTAATAATTTTTTTCTAATGTGGTGGCTTGAGGCGGTGAGAGTGGAGACATGCAAGGAAACATAGTGTGTAGTTGGGAACTCAAACTTATGCAAAGCGACATTAGATGGGGTCTCCAACTTTGTTGCTTAAGACAACGAGTACTTGGCGAGTAACTTCTGAGAGAGAGAGAGATGTTTGGTTAGGCTGAGCATGTGAGTGAGAGCAGCAATATATACGTCAAACAAAGTGAGGGAATTAAGGAGCCAAAGAGGGAGGGTGGAGGAAGCAAGGAAGTGAGAGAGGGAGAGAAGTGGTAGAGCTAGGTAAGGAGAGGTTGGAAGGAGCACGGGTGTGGAACATCGAATGGATTGAGGGAGAGTGGCAATCAACTGGATCGATCGTTTGTGAGAGCAAGATTGAAAATGGTACAATATTGAGGCAAGCCCTGATCTAATTTGTGCCCAATTAAAGAATTACAAACAAATCTTTGTTATTGAGTTTTTGATAAAATTTTTTTTTTTGTTAATTGTTTGTTGAATTATTAATGATAAATTTTCTGTTACTAAATCCATTACTAATTCATAAGAAAAAAAATCAATTGCAAATTCCTAGCAGTAGTAGCATATATTTTTTTTAAAATTGCACTAGTTGATCAAAATAAATGGGATTCAACCCACTGGGAACTAAATAAATGGTATATATTAGTTTACATTAATGTATTTGGATATTATGTATCTAATATCACATAATCATGCTTATGACAAAGTCACAATTGGATAATAGGATTGACACTAAATTTTTATGCCAACATTGCTATCTACCATCTCCTACAAATTCGACGCCCATTAATATCAACAATCATGAGCCTTTCTTTACGAATAAGGCTGATGGTTACTATAGACAACAACACTAATGCCTGGACGTCATTCAAACAAAGATGCATGCCAGCATCAATTGTGTTGTAACTCATCAACGCCAACAAAGCGGGTACTTGCTGTCGGCAATAACATCAATACCAATTTCCACCACTAAAGTTAATTTCTGAATCATTTCGATGATATCTCCCGTAAATTACTCTTCTCATCTATTAATACATGTGCAAAATTTTCATACAAATACTAATAGATAAACTCAGTCCCGCAAATATTCCAGCATAAACAATAATTAAGGAGACCACAGCCCACATCTGCACACGTAACTAATCATTACCATTCGATTGTTCAACGAACGTATAATTAATGATGATTAACAAGCACAATAAACTTCTTATGTTTAATAACATAGTCAAAATCAACTTAGGCCGTATAACAACATGTTTATTTGATATAATTACTACTCCAGACGATTTAGACATACCAATCAAATATTAAATTTTAGGATTATAAGGCGTAGGAACAAGCAACAGATCATTTTTCCTAACCAAAGACAAGCCAAAAGCTTCCTCCATGTCCAGTTCCTCAGCCTTCTTCCCCCCAGGCAGCTCCCAGTCGAAATGATAGAGCAGATTTCCAATCACATTCTCCATGCTTCTCATCCCAAAATTGATTCCTGGGCAAACCCTCCTTCCTCCGCCAAACGGAATGTAAGCATCTTTACACTCCGCAGCTTTAGCAGCATCTTCAAATCTCTCCGGCCTGAAGCTGTCGGCATCTTCCCAATAGCTCTGGTCTCTCATGATCGCCCACGCGTTAAGTATGACTCTGCTATTTGCGGGGATCGTGTAGCCATCGAGCTGCATTGTTTGCTCGCAATGGCGGGGGACGAGGAAAGGGGCGGGAGGATGAAGCCTCATGGTCTCTTTGAGGACCATGTTTAGATAGGGAAGGTTGATGGTGTCCTTTTCTTCTATCTTCGGCTTGCCATTGAGAGCAGTTCTGAGTTCTTGCTGAAGCTTATGCGTGACTCTCGGATGACGGATAATCTCTGACATGCCCCACGCCATGATAACCGAGGTCGTCTCCGTCCCTCCCAATATCAAATCCTGTTTTTGAAAAATAGAAAGTTTAATAACTCAGGAAAATGATTTATTTATCTATTTTTTTAAAAAATAGAAGTTAAGTTTTGTTATTAAAAAT